TTGATTTCTACAATAGTGCATATGAAGTCTATTATCTGCATTATTTAAAGTAGGATATGAATAAGCATTATGTAGAATTATTTGTATACAAATAATTGCTACTAACAATAGAAATAGCACTTAGACTTAAGCTTCACAGTGCTTTACAGCCCTCTCTAAGTGGTTTACACAGTCAGCATATTGCCCCCAACAATCTGGGTCCTCATTTTACCTACCTTGGAAGGATGGAAGGATGGGTCAAGCTTGAGCCAGTGAGAATCGAACTGCTGGCAGTCGGCAGTCAGCAAAAGTAGCCTGCAATACTGCATTCTAACCACTGCGCCACCACGATTCTATTAGTATTATTGCTATTGTTGCTATTACTGTATTATTACTGTTATAATTATAATTATTTTCATCAGGTGTTCCTACTCTACATAGGATTTGCTAAGGTACTCTTCTTGCAAATGTCACTAAAATCATTGAGAATAAAATCTTTTTACATATTTACCACCAATACCTGCTTATTCGGAACTGTCTGTTACTCTCTTGTGATTAAAGTTGACGTAGGGGGCGGGCATGCCCCATCTGCTGCTAGATCAATCCACTTGGAAGAGAGCACCCAGAAATATCTCCTCAACTCCTTCTGGTTGGTTCAAGCTGTCCTCACAGCTGTAAATTGAGTTGTCTCACTGTCAGTCAAATTTTAGGTCTCATAGTAATGTCTAGGTAAGAGAGCCAGTATAGAGCACCGTGGTTAAAGTGTTGGACAAGGAGCAGGGAGATCATTGTAACCCTCCCTTGGGCGTGGAAGTCAGCTTTGGGATCTTGGCCCGGTCACTCGCTCACAGTTCTAATCATCTTTAGGCTCTGCAACAAGCCAGCTGATGAACAAAATCCTTTGCGCATCATACATTGAAAGCTTCACTGTAAGAGCTAAACAAGCACAGTGCAAAAACAAGCAGGCTGTTGTTTATGAACTATTACTACTATTATGAACAGCAACAGTGATGTCTTGGGTATAACTAGAAAAAGAGTAGAAACTAGTGTTTAAATAGGAAGCATATTCTCTGTGCTCTACTTTTTGGAAGACATTGTTTCCTATCATCTGTACCTATCTATATCTTCTAAAATTCTTATTGTTATGACCTTTAATTGGGGGGAAAATGCTACAGCATAGGGTAATATTTTTTTTAATCAGGTTATCTCAAATGAGCTTTCTTACAGGATGTCTCCAAAATCTGGGACCCATGACTCCTGAGGGAATGAAATTTGGGGAAGTTGTGGCTGCTTCAGTGCTACAGGCTGCTACTCCACTGCTATGCTGCTGCTGTGGTCACAAGAGTTTCATTTTTAATGTTCCGTTAGTTTCCCAGCCAATCTGAGGGGAGGGCAGGCAAGGGGAGAGGACGGGAAGGAGGAAAATTTCAGACACTCTCTGCCAGCTTCTCATAAGAAAACTCAATAGAAGCCGACAGAAAATCATAATTTGCTTCCAGTCCCATTGCTTTTTTCGCCCACCCCTGGTCATTCTTCAGCTAAGGAAATACCTCTGAAATGAAAACCGAACAGGGCACAGCTAATCTAGTAATAGAACTGGCTTCATGAGCATGGCCATGATCTGTGAGGGAATACATAGATTGTGTTGCTTCTTATGGAATGAGATGCATTCCATCGGAAGTGTATTCCCCATTCATTAGTCTTTTAAAAAGTTAATTTTCTGTCTATGTAACCTTAACGTTCCCAAGGACCCTGCCCCTTTGAGCATTAAAGACAGTGCTGGGAAGAAATGGCTTGTAAAACATGTTCTTAGCAGCCCATTATCTTTCCTTGGTTTCCAGGAGAAGAAAAGCACGTCTATTTGTTCTAACTCATTTCTCTCACACTTTATATGTGTGGCCCATCATCTCAAGGATTTAAATAGACTGAAGAATGCAGTTCTTGACCTGTTTTAAATATAATTTCCTGCATACCCTGGAATCTCCAAAGTGGGTTACAATCCTTGCAACACAACCAGATGCAGAAGAATATCCTTTTTTTATTAGGACAGTGAGAATTTCAGGGCCACCGATGGATGCACTTGGAGCCATGATGGTGATGAGTGAGCTGCAGAGGAGAGCATGCTACCACTCTCCGCTTCAGTCTCACTCCATTCTTGCCTGTAGAATACAAACTCTGAGTGCCCTTTAACATTATTCCTTTTGGTAGAATAGAGCATTATATTTTGACAGCATTGCTGCTCTCTAAATTGCTGGTCCCTTTATGAATTTGATCAGCTACTGGGTATCCTAGCATAGAAGAGAAATTAGAACACAGCTTTCTGTGCAAATCGTTTCTAAATGCTGCATATTTAATGGCATGTAGTTCTTTTTTTTGGAATTATGAATTCAGTCTCTAATATTTCATTGCCTGTTTAAAGGCTCTGGGTAAAAGGAAGGGCAATATCTAAGATCTCCAGTGTTACTACACATTCTTCCTTAAGGACTAAGAATATATTCCATGCTTCTCATACATTCAAAGAATCATAATTAGGAGGAGAATATTATAAACTACTCATAATGACCTTTGGAAATGTAGTCCTTGAATTCAGCGTATTTGTAATGAGATAGTGAAAAATCTAGGAGTCTTCCTGGAATTACAACTCCTGGTAAAGGACATGCACAAGGGTCATTTTGCCCAGCTTTGGCTGTTTTGCCAGTCGTGATCCTAGCTAGATGAGAAGGCCCTGATGATTGTGAAGTGCCCTGATCACAAATAAACTACATCACTGTAACACTATTTGGAATTTCCACTGGTTGGTGAAAACAATGCCAATGTGATAGGCACTGCATCGATTTTTCCACAGGCTTCGAGGTACAATTCAAAATAGCAATAGCACTTAGACTTATTTACTGCTTCATAGTGCTTTACAGCCCGCTCTAAGAGGTTTACAGAGTCAGCATATTGCCCCCAACAATCTGGGTCCTCATTTTACCGACCTCAGAAGTCTGGAAGGCTGAGTCAACCTTGAGCCAGTGAGAATCGAACTGCCAAACTGCAGGCAGCCAGCCATCAGCAGAAGTAGCCTGCAGTACTGCATTCTAACCACTGCACTACCACATTTTAACATATGTGGTAGAGCTCTCAAGTTTCTCCAGGATGCTTCCTCCTTATGGGTCCAACCCATTCATCGTTTTCATGCCCAGTGAGGAATTTTTCCCATAAATGTGAAGGTGGGAAATTACAATAGTGTTTGTTGCCTGCTCTCACCTTGAGGAAATGCTTCTTCTCAGAGACAGAGTTGGAATTCACTAGTCGCACATCAAAATAGAACTTTTTCAAAAGGTCTTCAAGCTTCCCATATTGCCTTATTAGTGATGGTTTATGTTACTGTTTTCTCTTTATAATTTAATGGATTTAGTTGCATCTGCTTATAAATCACTGTGAGTCAGTCTGATTCATCAATATACAAACATACTAAATAAAATAAACAATTCAAAGTCTTTTGCAAATCTTTGAACATTAAAACAGTTCTCTCTTAAATGTTGCAAGAGTATGTATTAAAATACAAATATTTTGAAATACAGTCATTTGAAATACATATTTCAATATGAATGCTGAAGTAGATATCTTTCAAAAAGATATATGAATGACGTGGAAACATCGTAGAGCAGAATTATGAAAAAAAAAGAGATGGCATGAAGTGGAAATAGAATCATCTGTTCACAGGACAGCTCTCCAAAGAGAGGAAAGAATTATTAATAGCATTTTTATCACCATTGTTCAGGCTCAGAAAAGTTATTGGTTTTGGTTTTAAGCTCGTCCCATCGCAACCTGCTCTCATTCTTGCTGCAGTTAAAAAAAAAGGCAAACAATGAGTGAAAGCTGGCCCTTTGGGAGTAAAGACAAAATTTGTTCATTTTATTTTAACAACCCATGCATTTTTTTTACTTTAATTATGTAGATCATACACATGGATTAACAATGGTATATTTTTAAACCTAGCTGCAGCATGCCAATTATTTCGTATGCTTTTATTTAGTAATTTGCCTCTGTTCTATGGGATTTCTTAAGCCATCTGAGTTCACCTGTATAGATATGTCATCCTAATGTGGCTTCTTTCTATCATGCCATGTTTTCTGTATCTAGCTATTGTGGTTTGTAAATCATTTATATATTTAAACATTTTCTATGTGGCTTTCGAGATAGGATAGGATAGGATAGGATAGGATAGAATAGAATAAAATTCTTATTGGCCAAGTGTGATTGAACACACAAGGAATTTATCTCCAGTACATAAGTTCTCAGTGCACATGCAAGCAACAAGTGATAGATTATGATCATAAAATACAATCATCATAAATCATAAGATACAACAGTCAGTGATAGTCACAGGGTATTAAATAAAAGCAATCAACATAAATCATAACAATCATGTTTACACCTAAGAAGTAGAGTTTCACTTAAAAGTAATAGATTACAACAAAATAGCTTCTAAACATAGAAATAGCCTTTCTGGCCTACAGGAACCCTAGTTCAGCCATCTCTCTCAATGCACTGCCACCAAGCATTTTTCTTTTGGAACTGATCATACTGTTCATGCAACTACCTAGTCAATAGGCATCTTTCATGGCAAGCTCTGGTGTTTCTACTGACACATTTCCAAATGACATGCATACATGATACTGATCAAAAGAGATACGGAGTGTCCCTGGCTTAGTATGATAACGCTATTCAACAGACTATGACTTACAGCAAAAGCCAGACGGAAAAGTGGTGGAGATGCAGCTACCCTTGGGGAATCTCCTGCCAGACATACATCCCAGCATTGTTCCTTCACCTCATCAATAAAATCCAATCACAAACTCTGGCCACTATCAGCCTGCCTCAAAAAAGTCTCCAAAAGTTTTCTAATAATTTTTCAGGGATCCATGGTCCTATGTGATATTTGGACCCAACTAATATTTAGGAATCCTATCATGGTGAAAAATCTTCCTGGATCCTGCACTGTATTTATCACACTTATTTCTTTTAATCTACAGGAGGAAGATATTGAATACTATGACTCCAAGGCTGATACGGAATACGTAAGTATCTTGCAGTTGCATTGCTTTTTTGTTACACAGTAAATGGGTTCTGTATTAATTTCTGTAGAGTTTTCTTTGCTACAGTTGTTCAATGTGTACGTTCATTTAATGGGCTCCAAAGTAAAATTATGCTTAAAATGGTGAAAAGTAAGTTGTGGAGCTGCAAACCTGCCACTCTTTTTCATCAATTGGTAATGGAAAGGAAGTTGTAAACATTTAACTACATTTCAACAAGGAGAAATTTCAAAGAACAGAAAAAAATGTTCATCAGTCTTGGTGATTGTAAGGAGGTGCGTTGGAGAAGAGAACAAGAATATATATTTGTAAGTTTTATTGCATTTTGAAATGGATTCACAGTTTTATTTCATGGTTTAAATTCTCATTGCTTCCTTGCTTGGTTAGTTGAGGTTTTTTATTTTGTTAGTTTTGGTTCTGGTTTTGGTTTTTTTGTCACTCTCTCTCTCTGTGTATCTTTTATCAGTGTTCAGCTCAGAAGTGCTAAAATCTTCCCATGTAGTTTTATCAAATATCATAACAATAAATTTATTTTCCAGGATAAGGAATGCTGAAATCAGAACAATTTTAGCATACACTATCATAGTGAAACCTTAGGAAAAGAAACAGTGCAGAGTGAGAAGACAAGTTTTAAATGCTAAAACAAAACCATCTATCATTGATGGGTTGATTGGAAATATATAATGCTGTTGTTGCTTACATCAAATACAGAATTCACACTGAAGTCCTCCATCTGGGAATAAATCCTGCAATCCCTAAAGAGACTTGTTTTTAACAATAAAAGTATAAAGTATAAGTATAAAGTATAAGTATGAAGCTCCAAAGGTTTTATATTTATATGAGTTCATATATATCCAACTGCTAACTTGCAGTTACAAAAAAATACTCCACCTTCTTTCTTTGTAATTTAGAAGCTAGTGACTACTTGTCCATTCATTATCATAAGCTAGATATGTCTGTTTTCTATCTCCTTGAGTGCTAAAGAGATACTGTGGCAATATGTTTGGTCTCCTGCAAATGTTTGTCATGTGGTTGTCTCATCTGCCCTCTCTTTCTCCCATTAAGCTACCCAAAACTGATATCTATCAAAAAGAGATGGATCTTAGAGGAGTCCTTGTTGCTCTCTGAGCTTGGTTGTTTTCTTGCACTCGTTTCATTACCCAAACTAGGCAACATCATCAGTGCTGATGATGTTACCTAGTTTGGGTAATGAAACATCTGCAAGAAAACAATCAAGCTCAGACAGCAGCAAGAGCTTCTCATTTCAACCATGAGCTACAAATATTCTCCTTTATTAGATGGATCTTTATACAAGTCAGACATGGTTGATTAATTAGATCTTTTCACAAAGATCTTGCATCGGGTTACATTTCCTGGGATACAGTGAAGCTACAATGATATATTACAAGCAGTAACCGAATGACAGAGTTGGAAGGAACCTTGGAGGTCTTTTAGTCCAACCTCCTGCTCAAGCAGTAAATCCTATACCATTTCAGACAAATGGTTGTTGAATCTCTTCTTAAAAGATATCTTGTTTAGATCCAATCTTTTTTTATATTTTTGTGCCTTATAGTTTTTTTTATTTTTGTGCCCTATAGTTAGTGTTGACTCCTGGCGATCTCCCAGATTAGTCCCTGCAGTTTTCTTGGCAAGTTATTGGGAAGTTATTTGCCATTACCTGCTTCTTAGGGCTGAGAGCAAATGACTGGCTTAAGGTTACCCAACTGGCTTTGTGCCCCAGGTCGGACTAGAACAGTCTCCAGTTTTCCAGTCTGATGCCTTAACCCAGACATGTCAAACTTGTGACATCACGTGACGTCGCGCAACGTATCGGAGCTTTTTTGACATTGCCGGCAATGGGGTGGGCGCGGCTCTGGTATGATGAAACCGGCCCGTGGGCCGGCAGTTTGACACCCCTGCCTTAACCATTACCTAATTACCTAATAATACATAATAATGAGCTGTCTACTGTTATGTGTTCTTGGCAGTTTAGATATACTTCCTTTATTTACGTGAAGATTTTAAAAAAGCATTCCAAGTCTGGACAATTTTTAGATATGTAGACTTCAACTACCAGAATTTTCAATAATGGCCAACCTAATTGAGGAATCCTAGGAACTGAAGTCTGCGTATCTAGAGGGTACTCATGGAGATGGTCCCTAAAAATTGAGAGGTGGCTCTAAAAGTTTTGATTCTCAAGTGCTGAGACAATAGTTGGCCCCACTCCATGCTCACTTCGTGATACTGACAAGCTATCAGACAAAGACTGAAGAAGCCAGGTGCATTTTGCTAGAGAAAGTCATTTTGCTTCCTGGGAAAGTTTCTAAAATTAAAGCTAGCATCTGAAATTCAAATGAAGAGCAAACATCTAATTAGAGGCAGAATCTAATTCTCTACCCTCCTCCCGGCACAGCCATCCTGTAATTCTGGCAATCAGAATGTTAAGTATAAACTAGAGAGCTTCAGTTCCCCAAGGAAATAGGCCTTTGCTAGTTACTATGTGCAATATGAATACTTGGAGAGAATGCTGCTCAAAATTACTCCCAAGTATCCACTCCTGGCTTAACTCACTTCAGAACTGACTGCATTTGATTGGCTGTGGAGTGCTTTTGGAATATTTCAAATCTTTCAGAGCAGAGAAAAAGGAACTTGTATGCAAGAGCAGGAACAGAGGTTGTCCATTGCCAGCTTGGTGAGAAGGTGCAAATCACTAATATCTCCATTGAGAAAGCTGCTGTCCTTAAGCTTCATAATACTCATAATAATATTAGTGGAAGACTAACAGGGGATTCCTATATGGTTTTCAGACTGGACTATAGAACTAACATTCATCCAGTTATATGTCATGATTGAGTTGGTATCAGTTCTTCATATAGAATGGATTCCTTTCAAGATTTGTTTCATTTATGTTTTTATGAATGGTAGCCAACCAAAAATGTGGAATCCTAGACAATTAAAAAAGCTCATAGAAAACAAAGTTGCAAAAATCTGGTCACCCTATAACCAGAGGAACATTATAGTAAGAGAGAAGTGACTAATAGTCTACATGTCCAATTTGGTAATTATTGACAAAGAACAGTTTTGAACCCCAACTCAAACACAGACTGCAATTTGAATGGTCAGTCCATTTTCTTAGGAGCACAATGAAGCTGTTAGGCCGTCCTGGCTAAACTTTCAAAACGAGATCCAGCAAACAGGAACGGTAAACCATCAATGCTTTAATCAGCGCAAAAGAAACAAAGTTAGCACTGGGGTAACAGTCCCGCAGTGCTCAAATATATATATCCCACGCCCTCCAGCCCCTCCCAGGTCCACCCTGTCTAGCCCCTCCCCCGTGGTCATCCAGCTCCGCCACCGCCAACACCTGTAGGATTGTCAGGCCCAGTGTTCGTCCGGTCTAGCGCCGGCGGCGCACAAGACAGGCCTCCGTTCACAAAAAGTCCAGCGGCCTGAAAGCCCAGGAGCCGCCCCGTCTCACCACGCGACGCGGCGCCGCCCACTGCCGTCGCCCGGGATGTCGGCATCAAGAGGCAGCGGCGCCATCCAATGACGTCGCCCGGGATAGTGGAGACGTCGCCCGGGATGGTGGAGGCGAGAGGCAGCAGCGCGGCACCGACGGGATTGGAGGTGCCTTCTGAAGTGGCCGCATCGAGCAGTGGGGATGCAGAGCAATGGAGGCTGCCGCAGCGGAGGCCTGGGCATGGAGGCCTGACAGAAGCTAGAGGGCTATAAAACAGAAGCATATGTCCTCAGATTTCTACCAGAAAAAGTCATTGCTGATAACTGCAGCAATATAGAAGGTTAATGCCAAAGCTACTGTTAAGGGCTAAATAGCCCTGACTCTACCCCAAATTAAGGGATTACAGGGTTGTAGAAAGGGAGTCAGATAGGTTTTATACTGGAGTTGGATGTTATCTCAAAAACTGTTTCACAGGGATGCCTACAGAAGTTAATTATTAGGTTTCTTTCACAAACATAAATATAAGGAGGGTGAAAGAATGGGAAAGAGACAAGGTAATCTTTTATCTAAACTTCTTATTCAGTTCCTAAAATTTGACCACCAAGCCTCTCCCCCCCCCCCAATTTTTACCATTCCTCTTATTAAAAATTCACCTGTGGAAGGAAATCTAACAATGTCTTCTGAGTAAGAAATCTCCTTCCTCTAAAAACAATCTCATCTTTCCTATTCATTCTCATCCACTCTCTTCATTACGGAAGGATTTCTTTTCTCATTTGTGTTCAGCCTTGCTTGAATTCCTCAGCCGATGACTTTGCCTTTGAATGCAAAACCTGTAGCATGCCAGACTAGAGCAGTTACTCCTGCTACTACTACTGTTAGTCTAATTTGCTTCCCCCATCCTTCTCTCCTTCTATGTTTTCACACAAAGATGTGCACAATCATTAGTAGTTTAGAACACATGGCAATAAATCTCTATTCTTGGCGTGCCTGTTCCCTTGCTGTTGAAAATTTATGGAGCTATAAAGGGCAAAAATGTAAGAGTTCCTAGAGAAACATTGCTTGCAGTTGATTAGTTTAATAATAAATGGATTTCTAAGGTCAGCCAATATTATTGATATAATTTAGACCTATTTCCTGTAAAACAGTAGCTACTATACCCTCTATATCTAGCATCAATCTGCATTTGAACTTCTGTTTGTATTTCCATTTACCAATTAATTCTGTCCCCTCGGCTCCTCTATCAGTGCTAAGTAAGGACTTATTATTATTTCCTGCTGAACATTGGCACAGGCAGGAAAAAAGCAAATTTCCCTGCTAGCCTTCTAGGTCCTTGGCTGATCAAGTTCATCTCCTACAATTTTCCCTTAAAACAAGATTCATCTGGGAAGCTTATCCACCCCTCCTTTAAATTATAGCTGGAAAAATAACATTGATGGAGACCAAATAGAACACGTTTCCTAACATGTTCTAAGTCAGAATTCTTCAAATTGTGTTCCATAGAACCCTGGGGTTCCTCAAGAACTTA